GTCAGTTGCAGAATTTGTAAATCTGTCACAGGTAGGTGGTGTAACTGAAATTGATTGAAATGTTTTGGAGCATTGTGCACTTAACTGTTCCACTAAAAAGTGGAGATCTGTGCCTATCCCTCCCCTAGATCTGTCCAAACCTAGAACACACCATTGTTTCACACTTAAGTTTGAAATGAAGGAAAAGAGTCTTTCCTTCTGCTTGACATCAGGCCCAGAGATCTCCAGGTTTCATCCTACTACTAAATTCTAGACTGAAGTTAATCCCTCCCACCCAGAAAAAAAAAATCTAATATATGTTTTTGAAATCCTAGAATCATAGATTTAAAGCTGGAAGTGACCATAAGGTGGAATGAATAAAATGACAGCCCTGAAAATAGAATAAAACCTGGGAAGGAGGCCTTCAGACATGAATCATTTACAAATGGCTTTTCATTCAGAACTTGATTCTTACTTTCCCATCTGGGGGACAGAGGGTGTTTGAGAAACCTGTCTCTAAAGTCCCTCTCAGTTCTGGCAAAAAGAATCTAGATCAATCAGTCTCATGAAGTCATAGATTCAGAGCCAGAAGGGACTTTAGCAGTCATCAAGGCCAACCTCCCCATTTGACAGATGAGGAAACAGGGATAGAGGTTAAGTGACTTGCCCAAAATTGCCCAGGCAGTAAATGGCAGAGCTGGGATTTGAACCCAGGTTCTCTGATTCCAGAAATTTCATGCGCTTTCCACTGTACCATGATTCAGTCTATACATCTATGAGGTCAGGGACCTTTTCCTATGTCTCTTCATATTGCTTTGTTCAATCAATACCAAATAATGCTTGGCCCTGAGGATACAAAGACAGACAAGGAAGGAAGGAAGGAAGGAAGGAAGGAAGGAAGGAAGGAAGGAAGGAAGGAAGGAAGGAAGGAAGGAAGGAAGGGAGGGAGGGAGGGAGGGAGGGAGGGTTAATTGTATGAGACTCTCCTAATTGATTGATTATTCAATGCCCCACTCCTGAATTAGGGATGGGAAGAGTTAGTGAGAGCTGGAAAGAGAAATGCTAGTTCTTTTGGCTTCTAACTTCAAGATAGAAGATGACCATTCCAATGTCTCTTCAGCTTGATAAAGAGAGAAAGACTCTAGGAAAAAGTCAGTATGAGACAAACAGGCAGTTTCTATCATATCCCTTTACCTAGCTTGCTATACTAAAAATTTCAGGGAATTTTCTCTTTGGGTGAGACCTGAGACTCTTTTATTTGATCTGAGCTAGATGGCTCCCAATGAGAGAGCTCCTTCAATATGCATTATCTGGTATATATGTATATATCCTATGTATACTTTCTCTGATTTCTGTTTTGCTATTGACTTGGATAAATTAATTTCTTTGCTATTTGCTACATACATACATACATACATACATACATACATACATACATTTATTCATTATGGGACTGGCATTTGGTGAGAAGGGAGTCAAGTTCTAAATATAAATGAACACATATATGTATTTATGAATATATGCATACACACATTCACATATATGTCTGTGTGTATTTATCCATCTCTCTAAACCTTGGGGTTCCCCTTTCCCCATGAAGGAATAGTGATCAGGAGTTTAGTACGATCCCAAAAAGGACAGCCCCTAGGCTAATAATATTTAAGGGAGCAGACAAATAGTAGTCTCCACTGGTACTCCTCTCTTTGAGGAGGGCAGAGTGCATAGACTGTAGGTCTTCAAGCAGAGGGTGAATACACTGGCCAGGGATTTGGGAAAGGAGATTCTTGGTCAGGTATGTGTTAAATTAGCCGGCTTCTGAGATCCCTTCCAGCTTGGAGAGTCTCTGAACCTGTTCTTCTCTGAATCATTATAGCCACACGGGGCATGTTGGGATATTGCTCCTTTCATACCCAGGTCTTTACATTTTTATTTGCCCCATAACAATTTCAGGGACTTGTTTTTAAAATTCTTCACAAATCCCTGCATTATACTAATCTCCAAATTCACCCAGAAAGCAAAACTAATAAAGCTGGTAAAGGCCCAAGGCTGAGCATGTCTATTCTAACTGCCCCTCTGAATTCCTGTCCTCGCTTGTTGCAATTGCTACGCAACAATCCATCTACCACCACCATGTCTTTGCACAGGCTGCCCCCATGTCCCTTTCCCAACACTGGACTTTGATTTCTGTCTTCTGAAACACGAAAGTAGTTGTGTGTGTAAACAACTGTGTTTGATGTTTGCCCAATTTAGTCCAAAATTTTATCTTCTCCTTTAATGATGTAGGATTCAAATATTCTGAACATTACGTAGCTCTTTCTAGGATTTAAAACATTTTTTTCAAAAAACAAAAATACTTATTTTCAAAAGGCTGAATATGATCCCATTAAGGGGAAGGGCTATATGAGTACCTTGTTTCAAATACCCACCTTTCCCCCTTCTACTTTTTCCTTTGATGTATTCAATTCAACTCGACAAATATTTATTAAGCCCCTTCTGTGTGCTAAGTGCTATGCTAGGCTCAAAATGAAATGGTTCCAGGGGCGCAGTGGATACAGCACTGGCCCTGAGGTCAGGAGGACCTGAGTTCAAATCCAGCCTCAGACTAAACACTTGACACTAGCTGTGTGATCCTGGGCAAGTCACTTAACCCCAATTGCCTAAAAAAACAAAACAACAACAACAAAAAGAAATGGTTCCAGTTTCCTCAACTGTAAAATGGGGATGATAATAATAGCAAGGGTTGGTGTGAGGCTCCAATGACGTATTTGTAGGGTCCTTAGCACAGCACCTGGCATATAGTAGGTGCTTAATAAATGCTTATTTCCTTCTTATTCCAGTGAAATTATAGTTCTAGTCTCATTCTACCTCAAAAAAATTATTTTTTAATATTCAGCAGCAAAGCACAAGCTTATTTGTAGACTCCAAGCTCTGGGAAGTAACTCTGTCCCCCACTTGGGAAGGTAACTTCAGATGAGGAAACTGGTGTTCTATCATGTGGCAAATATGGTCAGCCATACAGAAGAGATAGACCATTGGGAGACACTGACACCTTTCAAAAGCCACAGTCCGTGAGAACGCTGCTCTGTAGTAATCCTACAGGTGCTGTGGGCCAATAGCTGGCAGCCTAAAGTTAGATGGTCAGGAGTTAGTAAATGAAAAATCATATTCATTCAGGCAGACTGACATGTCATGATGTTCATTGCCAGCAACGGAGAGAGTTATACTTTTTTCTTTTTTTCTCCTTTGCCCCTTCATGGGGGCTTATCTTTCATTCATTTATTCCAAACAGAAATGATCTTAGATGCTAATTCTAAGATCTAGGTTTCATCAACTTTCAAAATAGCTGAAGTGGGCCTGATAAGAGGGGAAATACATTTCCACCTGCCCAGATAAAAGGACAGTCTCTCATTCGCCCTGCTGATGCAGCCTCAGCATAATTCTGCTAGCTGGTTGTCTTCCACAGTGACCATCTTCTGGTTGCTATAGAAACCAATTTCAGGTCCGGCTCTTCACTCCTTGGTCCCTTTCCCAAGAGGGGCACAGCTGCTTGACACCAAGCCCTCCCATCACTGTCCCCTGCTGCCTCAGCAATCGTCTGTTGATTGATGCTTGAAACAAGAAAGCAGGGAGTGTTGTAAGGACTTAGGTCCTCAAGCATTTTTGACATTGCAATGAAAATGTGGTGCCGAGAGAAAAGCAAAAAGGTGCTATTGGGATTCAGAGGCACCGAACCAGCCTGTCCACGTCTTGTCCACGTCCTTTCATAAATCGCCGATGTGCATTACACCTTCCTCTGGGTCTCGCATTGTCAGCCTGCATACCTGCCATCCCTGGGTCTTGCTACTTGCCTCTGTCACTGACACCACTCCTTTGTTGTGTTTAGGCTGTCATCACTGGGAACTTGCTACAGCTGCTCATGACCCCCATATGCATCTCTCCACTGATCTTTGGGTCCCCTGCATGCACTTCCTCTCAGATAGTGCCCTAGGCATTCTTTCTGGTTGTCCTCCATGTCTGGACCACTCTCCCTCTTCATTTTCACCTGCTGGCCTTCCTGGCTTCCTTTAAGTCTCAACTAAAATCCCACCTTCCCCAGGAAAACTTCCCTAACCACTCTTAATTCCAGCGTCTTCCCTCTTTTGACCATTTCTGATTTACCCTGTATAAAATTTGCTTTGTACATATTTATTTGTATGCTGTCTTCCGCATTAAATTGTAAGCTCCTGTAGGGCAATGGTAGTCTTTTGCCTCTTTTTGTATCCTCAGCTTAACACAAATGCCTGGCACACAGCAGGCACTTAATAAAGGTTTGACAGTGTTTAGCACAGTGCAGGCACACAGTAGGCGTTTAATAAATGTTTACTAATTGATTGGATGAATATCCAGCAAAGGAGGCAGAGAAGGAGCGGTCAGAGAGGTCGCAAGGGAACCGGGAAAGGTTTGGAGGGTGGTGGTGTCGGGGTAGTATCTTTAAATGTAGAGGAGCCCACGTGGCCTGGGCTGCAGCGGCCGTACGCCCTCCCTCGCTGCGGGCTCCTCCTCCCCAGAGACAAGGTCACTGAACCCCGCCTCTGGCTCCATTGGCTGACTGTAGATCGGTAACCAAACACGTCGAGTGATGTGCGCGTGCGCACCTTTCAGAGCGCGGCTCTTTAGTCTCCGCGCATGCGAATCTTCCTTTTCCTAACTTTCCCCGCCCTTCGGAGGGCAATAAGCTTGCGCAGAGGAGTTTCGTAGCCCGGACTGTGGCCATTTTTTATTCTGGCAGGCTGCCGGGGGAGTCCATGCTGAATGAAGGTGTCGGCCAGACTGACGTCCGCAGACATGGTCTCTTTGTCGCAAAACTCCTTTTCCCCCTATTATCTTGCATTCTTTTGATCTTTAATAAATGTTTGATGTTCCAAATGCCGTTTCTTTGCCCACGACCTAGCTCATGGGCTCGATTCCTTCAGCGTCGTCCCCTCCGTTTGTTGTGGGTGCGCCCTTCCGGACAGGAAGTGGCGCACTCACTTCCTGCCGGACTCTTATTTGGTCGCGGGAGTTACTGCTCGGACAGGCGGCAGGTCCAGGTGTTTCTGGGTCCGCGTAGAGCTTGGGTGGGTGCTGGGCCCGAACGAGGGTCCGAGGCAGGGTGTAGGCGCCTGGGTCCCTATCCTACCTTCCGTCCTCCCTCTTCGTGTGCAGTTCGGGCCCTTGTTGATCCCCTCAGGATTCCTTCGTCAAATTCTTTTCCTTCCGACCGGCATTTATGGAGCGCCTGCTGTGTGCGCGGACTAAGGAGAAAGGGCTTGTGTAGGAGGAGGCTCGTGAGCCGAGTCTTAAGTAAAGCAAAAATTTTTAAGAGGTGGGGGGAGCATTCCAGTCATGGGCACAACTTGGGCAAAGGCGTGGAGGTGGTAGTTGGCTAATAACATATGAGATTAGTTGTGCAGGAATAGAAATGGGAGCTGCAGTTGCTCTCCCCGTATTCCTTTTAGGAGTCCAGCCTCTCTTCCCTGCTGGTGTTGCCTTGAGGTGGTCTTGGGGAAGATTCCTTCTGGTGAAAAGATTGGAGAACATGCTAACACCAGCAGAAAGAATCCTGAATGTTAGAAGAGCTGGGCCGAGGTGGGACATGACAAGAATTGGACTTGTTTGGGGGGACCCCAGAAGGCAGAACGAGAAGCATTGATTCTGACGTTAGAATTTCTCCAGAGTTAGCACTGATCTCCATTTTTTCCCCATAGTTAGCAGGTGATCTCATCAATTCCCATGGATTCTGTTTTCATCTCTATGCTAATGATTCTCAAATCTCCTTATCCAGCCCTGACCTCTCTCCTAACCTTCAGACTCATATCCAGCTGCCTCTTGGTCATCTTGAACTGTATGTCCACTACATAGTTTAAGCTCAACATGTCCAAATCTTCCTCTTCCTAAATTACCTTGTTGAGGACACCTAGTCATGCAAGCTAAAAGCCTGGGTGTCATCCTTGACTCTTTCTCTCTCCCTCACCCTATATCCGGTCTGTTGGCAAATCCTGTGATTTCTCATGTACTCCCGTCCCTCCTTTGACACTGCTACCACTTTGGTGGAGGGTTTGTGGTGCAAACCCTCCACCTCATGCCTGAAACAGTGCATTAGCCTGGGGAGTGGGTGGTCTCCCTGCCTCAAATCTCTTTCCCCTGCAGTCCATCCTTCACTTAGCTGTCAAGTAGAAGTCTGCCCTGTCACCCACCCTTCATCCCCATCCATTCAACTCCAGTGGCTCCTTATGCCCTCCAGAATCAAATATAAATTGTGGCTTTTAAAACATTCCAGGGGGTGGAGCCAAGATGGTGGAGTGAAAGCAGTGACTTGCTTGAGCTCTCCCCCAAACCCCTCCAAATACTCATTAAATGGCTCTAAACAAATTCTAAAGCAGCAGAACCCACAAAAAGACAGAGTGAAACAAATTTCCAGCCCAAGACAACCTGGATGATTGATCAGAAAGGTGTATTGTGCCGGGCTGGGAGCACAGCGCCACGAGGCCACAGCGAACCTGGAACAGGCCTCAGAGGACTGAATCGGGCGGCTGTGGCGGTTTCCAGACTTCTCAATCCACTAATGCCAAAGACAACTTAGAAGGTCAGTGGGAAAAGTGTGTTTCTGCAGTTGTGGGACAGGAAGGCAGGGTCTCAGATCCATTCCCCAAGAGCGTGGCCCTAGGCGGGGGCAGCTGCTTCCTGAGCTTTTGGCCCATAGACTGAGGGGGAATCCAGTGGCTGATCAGAGAGGGATTGCAGGGAATTCTTGCTTTGCCCCTGTGTGGATCTGAGTCACAGTTCTGGGCGGCGGTGCTGGGGTGAAGAGGAGTGCTGGCATGGTGGAGCTTGTAATGGCTGTGTAGAGGAACCCCTCCTCACAGGTACAGGACAGAAAGGAGTACTTGTGGTCACAGCCCAGGAAAGGATTAAACACCTCGCTCCTTATCACACCACCTTGGAAGAACTGAAAATTTACAGGTCCCTACAAGTATCTCTGAAAACAGCTGTACAAACCCCCGAAGTTTGGGACAGTACATTCTCCACATTGGAAGCAGACTCTTACCTTAACAAAGAGTTTAAAACTCAAGTAATTGGCTGGGATCATGAGCAAGCAGCGCAAAAAGAGTCAGACTATATTATCTTACTTTGGTGAAAAAGAAGATCAAAATATACAACCAGAAGAAGACAACAAAGTCAAAGCTCCTACATCCAAAGCCTCCAAGAAAAATATGAATCAGTCCCAGGCCCTGGAAGAGCTCAAAAGGGATTTTGAGAAGCAAGTAAGGAAGTAGAGGAAAAACTGGAAGAGAAATGAAGTGATGCAAGAAAATCATGAAAAACAAGTCAACAGCTTGCTAAAGGAGACCCAAAAAAATACTGAAGAAAATAACACCTTAAAAAACAGCCTAACCCAAATGGCAAAAGAGGTCCAAAAAGCCAATGAGGAGAAAAATGCCCTAAAAAGAAAAATTGGCCAAATGGAAAAGGAAGTCCAAAAGATTACTGAAGAAAATACTTCCTTAAAAATTAGAATAGAGCAATTGGAAGCTAGTGACTTTATGAGAAATCAAGACACTGTAAAACAAATCCAAAAGAATGAAAAGTTAGAAAACAATGTGAACTATCTCACTGGAAAAACAACTGACCTGGAAAATAGATCCAGGAGAGAGAATTTAAAAATTATTGGACTATCTGAAAGCCATGATCAAAAAAAGAGCCTAGACATCATCTTTCAAGAAATTATCAAGGAAAACTGCCCTGATATAGTAGAACCAGAGGGCAAAATAGAAATTGAAAGAATCCACAGATCTCCTCCTGAAAGAGATCCCCAAAGGAAAACTCCTAGGAATATTACAGCCAAATTCCAGAGTTCCCAGGTCAAGAAGAAAATATTACAAGCTGCCAGGAGGAAACAATTCAAGTACTGTGGAAACACAATCAGGATAACACAAGATTTAGCAGCTTCTACATTAAAGGACCACAGGGCATGGAATATAATATTCCGGAGGGCAAAGGAGATAGGATTACAACCAAAAAAAAAAAACATTCCATAACCTGGTCCCCTCCTACCTTTCCAGTCTTCTTACAACTTACTTCCCCCAGGTACACTTCTATCCAGTGACACTGGCTTCTTGGCTGTTCCTGTCATAAGACACTCCATTTCCCAAAAGCATTTTTACTGGCCATCCCTGATGCCTGGAACTCTCTCCTCCTGGCTTCTGTATTTCTCAGCTGAAATCCAACCTGCAAGAAGCCTTTCCCAGTCTTCTTTAATCTAAGTGCCTTTCCTCTGAAAGTATCTCTCAAGTCACCCTCTCCATCCATGCCGTTTGTACACAGCTGTTGGCATGCTGTCTCCTCCATTAGGCTGTGAGCTTCTTAAAAGTAGGGATTCTTTTTTTTGCCTTTGTGTCCCCAGTGCCTCACACAATGTGTGGCACGTAGTAGGTGCTTAATAAATGCTTGTTGACTTGTGTTCATAACCTGACCCCTTCCTACCTGTCCAGGTTTCTTCGTCTCCTCCAAGTACTCTTGGGACCCATGGCCACTGGCCTCCCTAATGTTTCTCACTAGGGACACTCCATCTCCTGACTCCGGGTGCTTTTACCGGCTGCCCCTCAAGCTTGGAATTCTCTCCCTCCTTTTCTCCTCCTATTGGCCTCCCTGGCTTTCTTCAGGTCTCATCTGAAATCCCACCTTCTGCAAGATGTCTTTCCAGGTCCCCCATAATGGTAGTGCCTTCCCTCTGAGCTTATTTCTGATCAATCCTGTATATTTCTTGTTTGTATAGTTATTTACCCTAGCAGAATGGGAGCTCCTTGAAAGCAATGACTTTGCCTTTCTTTGCATTCTCAGTGCTTAGCACAGTACCAAGCACATAGTAAGCACTTAATAACTTCTTGTTGGTTTTGCTGACTTGACTTTCAGGTCTGGCATTCTGACTCTGTGTGATACAGGGCTAATGGAAAGGAAATTATTGTCTGATGCCCCCAAAGTATATGTTCTGGGAAGAGTCTGAACTGCAGGGGATGTGGCAGATTGGAGAGGGGGTGGGGTTGGGGTCTGTAGGACCTTGGCAGAGGTCTGCAGATTTCTTAGAGTGTCAGAGCTGTTACTCTTAGGGCTTTGTGGGCTCCTTTGAGTCCTTTGTGCTTTCTGCATTTTTTATTAGATAAAATTAAATCTGTCTTCTACCTGATATGCACTTCTTGCTTTCCATGTTTGTATGAGAACTGGGCCCCTTGTTACCTGCATTTGCGAAACTTAGGCATGACCTATTTATAAGTGATAAAAAGAGAGTTTACCAAAGTAAACTCTGGGTAGAGGCAGTGAGCCAAAAAGAAAATAAACTTTAGGGGTCAGCCCTAGGACCTGTGAACCCAGGGCTGTTGAAGGGGTGGGCAGCTGTGGTCTGGATTATATCTGAGTTTGAGAAGCAACATTCTAGGCCACTTAACACTCCCAACTTAAAAAGGAGAAAGATGGGGCAGGGCCAAGGACAATTTATATGTAATAAGGGTGAGTGGTGAGAAAATACAGGAGAAAAACTCCCAGTGAACCAGAAATTGAGAATAAGGAGGCACTTTTTATCTTTTGTTCCCACTTTTCTCTTATCTAATAGAAAAATATGTAAATGCTTGAGATGGCAAAGGCTTATCTGCCCATGACCCCTTGCCCTCTAGGCATCTTTCTTTTCTCCTTTGCATCACAGAGCACAGCCTCAGAAGGCTCAAGATTAAGAATGGCAAGAACAAATCGAGTTCAGATGAGGGCCTCCTGGAGGACTGTCATTGATCTGACTGGCTGAGTAGGTGGGAGTGTTGTTGAAGGTAAAAAAGCCTGGGCTCAGATGGTGCCTGATGTCATGGTTAAAGAGCCATTTGTTTGAAAAAGAGCAGATTGCCCCCTTGGTAGGAGTCCTGAGGCACCCTAAAGCTAATTGGACCCTGAGCTGCAGGAGGAGGTGTGGTTTCTGGGAATAAAGAGGGAACAATCACTGGACACTTATGTTCCATTCTGAGCATTCATCAACAGCAAGGATAGACAGCTAGGGATGGTGGGGGGGTCTTGGTTCCATGGCGCTGGAGGATCCACTAGAAAAACTGGGTATGTTTAACCTGGAGAAGAGAGGGCTTAGGGTATGTGAGAGCTGTCTTCAGTTGTTTGAAGGGCTTGTCGGTGGGAGAGAAATCAGATGTGTTCTGCATGGCCCCAGAGGCAGAACTAGGAGCAGTGAGTGACAGAGGAAAATCGAGGCTTGTAGGAAAACATTTCTAACAGTTGGAGGTACCCCACAGTGGAATGAGCTGCTGCCTCCATCCCTGGAGGTCTCCAAGCCCCAGCTAGACAGTCACTCACCTCCTCTGAGATCAGGAGAATTTCTTCTGGGATAAAGGTTGAATCAGGAGGCTGCCAAGCTCCCTTTGAACTTGGACATTCCAGGATTCTCCCTTTCCTCTGCTTCTCTCTGAAGTCTTCTGTGACCTCCCTTGGAGCTGACTGACTCCAGGCTGGCCACGTGGCCCTGGCAACTCAGTGAAGTGCTGGGCCCTGAGACTGGGGTAGTGGGGAGTCAAGATCTAATTAGAAATGTCCAGAAACCTGGGATTCTCTGTAGAGCCAGGTAAAGGGGAAACTGCAGATCCAGTCCAGAATTTCAGAGAACAGAGACAAGATGGCCTGATACTCATTCCAACTGTGCGGTTTTTGATTGTGTGCAAATGAATCTGGTGGGAAAAGACATTGCAGTTACATGCACAGTGACCATCTCTCCTCTCCTCTGGGTCTTAGTTTGTCTGGATCTGGACCTGAGAGGAGAAAAGGCCTGCCTTGAACTGTAGTCTGAGAGGCCTTTGTTGTTCAGTATTTTCAGTTGTGTCCAACCCTTCCTGACCCTATTTGGGGTTTTCTTGTCAGAGATACTGGAGTGGTTTGCCATTTCCTTCTCCAGCTCATTTTACAGACAAGGAAACTGGGGCAAATAGCATCTTAATGACTTGCCCACACAACTAGTAAGTGTCTGAGGCTGAATTTGAACTCAGATCTTCCAGACTATGCCTCTTGCTCTGTCCACTGTGCCACCTAGCTGCCCCCTTTACCAGTCTAGGAGAAGCAGACCCAGTGCATCTTTCAGTACACCAAATACAAGTAGCCTAGATAAGGATAAGTACAGGTAGCTTTTGTGTTGTGTTCAAAGGCTGTTCTTAGGAATTTATCAGTTATTCTAGCTGTTTCTGTCTACTGGTTACTTTGAGTGGCAGGTCAGGCAATCACTGGTGGAAACATGCCACATGCCATCATATGCTCCTCTTCCCTCTTCTCTCCCTTTCCCTCTCAGTCTGTATTGACTGAGAGCTTATTTTGTTTGCAGGCCTCTGAGGGGCAGTATGATTGGGTATGCAGGCTGATCAGACCCAGGAACCTGTACCCCGAGCAGAGGCATTGTACTAGTACAAGAATTCAAAATGGTTGATGAAGGTCTGAACCTGCAGCCTCTCACTACCAGGGAAACCTGCCTGCCAGTGTCTGTGTTCAGCCTTATCTGGTCACCCTAGGATCAGGACTTCATTAAAGACTCTATCTCCCTATGGCTACCTCCAGATAAGAATTCCAAAGCTCTCTAACACCTGGAGGTCATCCAGAACCAGTCCATTGCCTAGATCAGCCCCTTCTGCCTGCTATTCTGCTCCCCCCCCCCCCGAGGAGAACAGGGAGGCAGGAGTAGCATCAAAGTGAAGAAAGTCAGCATTGGGGGCAGCTAGGTGGCCCAGTGGATAGAGCTCCAGCCTTGAAGTCAGGAGGACTTGAGTTCAGATCAGGCCTCAGACACTTGCCACTTACTAGCTGTGTGATCTGGGGCAAAAAAGTCAACATTGTACTCTGAGAGGAGTGTGGCCAGTGAATCCCTTTTATAATAACATAAAAGCTTTTGCAAGGTTTGCAAACCACTCTCCAAATATCTCATTTGATCCTCACAACAACTCTACAAAAGTAGGTGGTTATTTTTATAAATGAGGAAACAGGCAGGCACAGGTTAAGTGACCTGCCCAGTGGCACAGCTAGTAAATTCATTCCCAAGTCCTGTCTGGAAACCTTTAGATCAGCGTAGTGTGAGGCTCTTTGTGTTTCTTGAAATCCCCAAACCTTGCTAGTACTGGTGTAGTACAGAGGTCTAAGTCTGCAGTTGGTAAAGAGGGGAATTCACGTATCAAGCTGTGTTGCCTGTAATCTTCCTGAACGTCAGCTTCCTCACCTGATCAATGGGGAAAATGATGTCTGTAGTACTCGTCTCAGGGTTATAGGTGAATAAAGGGCTTACAGACTTTGAAGTGTTACAAAGGATAACATGGATCTCCTTTTGGTCTCTTTCCTCTTCCTCCCTTTTTGCCTTTGCTTTTCCTGTCCTTTCCCTTCTCTTCTCATCTACCTTAAAGCTTACCAGTGGTTCCTCTTGGTGGGTGTAGACATCAGCCTGCTTGGGATGCTGAGGACCATCAGATTACTGTTCCCTGGCTACAGTCTACTGCTGAAATCAGAGCCAGGGTGGCCTGGGCTTTGAAGTCATAAACGGAGGTTTCCATTGTTGTCCCTTAGTGGGGTAGGGGAAGGCATCTTAACAATGATCATGGTCCTAATAAAAACAGCCAACATTCACGGCCCCTTCTTCTCTTCTCTCTGTGGACTAGGCCTCCTTTGCCCCCAAGGCCTTGCCATCCAGCAGAAGTCAGGACAGCTGCTGATGCCTGTCTACACTTAACCACACTGACTGAAGTTCTTGGGGCTTTGCACAGTGATGGCCATGGTCAGATGGGGCAGTTCAAGACTTCATCCTCAACCTGAAAATGGGAGAGTGCCAACTGTGTGAAAGCAAGAGGGCAGCAGTACCCTTTACTGCAATGCCAGGAGTCCCCAGATTGCCAAGTACGGGCACTCAGCAATGACACTGGGGCTGTTTTTCTGCCAGGACAGCTAGTCCAGAAGTTGCCATGTCAACATCATTGGATTCCTAGCTTCTTTCAGCAATAACTCCTCTTTTTTTCCTGCCACAGGAAGATACATGGTCTGTGGGTGACTATAGCCGCTCACTTCTACAAAAGCTTCATAAACTTCAGAAGCAAAAGGGAGAGTGTGGGAAATACCCCCCATCTCCTTGGTATAGTGTAATTCCAGCCTGTTGTTGCTTCTCTGCTATATGGGGGCCTGGGCCAAACTGCCCCAGGACCTTCCGTCAGCCTACTGCTTTGTTTCAGCCTTATTAGATCTTTTCCCAGCCTTAGGTGGTTTGTGAGGGGCCCGGTGCCTATTTTGATTTTGAGTTGCCATTCTCAGAGCTGTCAACATTCGAGATCCCAGAAGTCACCAACCTTTGCCTGCCTCCTGTGAAATTGGGATCAAATTTCCATGTAAATTAAAATCTCTTTTAGTACTTTCACATTCTTTGAAGTTAGGGAGAATATGTCCACAAAGCCTAACTCATCGACCCGGAGTGATCAGGCAAGCAGCAAGAGCCATTGGGAAAGCTAGGTTACTTCCCGAAGCCTCTTCTCCCTCTGGCCCGGAAGGGGCCCCGGGACAGGCTTTGGTCCAGAGAGAAGTGAAGGAAATGACAGACTGTGCTGCTCCCACCTTGCTCTTGGGAGGAAAGTATTACTTTCGCCTCAAGCGGAGGCAGTTTGGGAGAGGAATAAGTGATAGTGTTGACCCTCAAGAGAAGGAAAAGGCCACTGAAGCATTTTCTTTTAAGGTACAAAAGGGAGTTTGGAAGGAAACGGACAAGCCAGCTAACCTGGAGAGCAACATGTGAAACGAGTAGATGGGGAAGGGGGGGGGGGGCCCGGGTACCTTGTTCCGATTGGCCCCAGGGACCTGAGCTAGGACCAATCAGGAGGTGTTGCGGTGGGGCGGGGCGGGGAGGCGAGTTTAGGCTGGCTAGAAGGGGGCTGTCGGGTCTGTAAGTGGTGTAGAAGAGCCCTTTCCCCGCCCTCTTCGGGGAGAGAGGCACGTGATGCTCCCCAACCAGCCCGTTGTGTTTTACGCAAAAGTGTCCAGTAAGTGTCTCAGCCGTCGGTGCCTTCACAAAGTCGAGCCACTGAGCCAGCAGCTTCCGGCTCGGGCCCTGGAGCCATCGAGACACACTGAGCATATTGCGCATGCGGGGCGGGAGGGCGAGAGAAACCAGCGTATGCGTGCTGGTGCTGCGTGGCCCTCCTCGAAGCCATCTTTGAACAGGGCTCCAGGCTGGCGCCGAGCACTTGGGGGTGGGTGGGGGGGAAGGTGGCGGTTGGTCCACGAGCATTTGTTGAGACTTTACTGTATGCCTCGCCCTTTGCTAAGCTCTGGAGACACAAAGAAAGGCAAAAGCATGGCTTGTCCGTGCCCTCTAGGGACAACCGATCCCCTGCGGATCTAAGAGATCCATCCCACGGGGACACCCGCCCCACCTCCGCCTGACGCAGTTCTGGCGTGCCAACGGCTCCTGGGCTCGGGCGCTCCTCCTCCACCGGAAATGACGCGACCCGCTCCCGGCAGGCTGTTCGGTGGCGGGAACCGGGAGCTGAGGCGCCTAGGGGTGAATGGAGAGCGCAGGGGCCAGGACCGGCGGGCGGCGGGCTCCAGACAGCGACTCCCCGCCCGGCTGTGTGGCGCCTCTCTAAGGAGGGCCGGAGGGCAGCCGCTGCCGTGCTCCTCCTGTGTGCGTGACCCACTCGTCTCGGGTGGTCCCCGGGGCCGCCTCCGGACCGATCCCGCTTCTCGGCCTTCCCCGGGCAGGGGGAAGCGGCCATGCAGGCCTTCCTCAAAGGGCCGGCCTCCATCAGCACCAAGCCGCCGCCCACGAAGGACCGAGGACCCGGGGCCCCCGCGGGCAGCAGCGCCGAGAGCCGAAGGGCCAAGCCTGTGCCGTGGGTGGAGAAATAGTAAGAGCCCCGCCCCCCGGCGCGCGTGGACAGACCCCTCCCCCAGTTGTCACCCCTTCTAGCGTGGGCCCGAAGAGCTTAACTGGGCTTAGTGCTGTGAAAGGTTTTCTAACTCCCAAAATTAAGGGATGGGATTGGAGTGAGCTGCGCGCGCCCTCTCGCTCAGACCCTCTGTAGTGCGATGGCATTTGCACGTTTGCTTGGTTTGCAGAGCCAAGCCGACGATCGTAGTGGGAGTCGAAGTGTTCTGTGGGTTCTGTGCTCTCCCCAGAGTGCTTGACTCCCGCTCCTTTGTGTTTGCGTGGATCGGGAGGCTGCGGAGCGTTCCTGTGACCGGTGGCTTTGTCCATTTAATCCAGGGCTCCTGTAACGGCTTCACTTAGCACTGGATAATAGCTAGCGTTTAGAGCTGGAACTCTAGACTAGTTTAGCAGAATCTTGCTAAAATACTGCTTTTAGACAAAAAAAATTATAGCAATGGGTTTTCTAGGTCTAGACCTAGGCTAGGTGGTGCACTGGTTAGAGCACTGGGTCTGGAGTCAGGAAGACCTGAATTCAAATGAAACCTCAGACTCTTACTAGTTCTGTGACCCTGGGCAAGTCACTCAAACCTTGTTTGCCTCTCTTTCCTCCTCTGTAAAATGAGCTTTGCCAAGAAAACTCAAGAGTCAGACACAACTGAGCTACAAGGTCTAGAAAAACCTTTTACTTTGATGTTACAAGTGTGACAAAGATCTGGCTAGAAAATCTAAGGAAGTCCTCATCCCTGCTCATCTCTTTGTTAACAGTAATAATACATCCCTATCCCTGTGGCTCTAATTCCTAAGCTTTTCTCTTCCCCTTCTTCTCTTAGTACATGTTAAGGACTGTAATTGACTTCACAGCAACAGTAACACATGAAACTTTTCAGTATCTCTGCTAACAACCAAATGCCAATTTTTTTTTCCTAGCCGTCCCAAATGTGTGGATGAAGTTGCTTTTCAAGAAGAAGTAGTTGCAGTGTTGAAAAAATCTTTAGAAGGCGCAGACGTGAGTTAAAACCTTGTTTAATTATCACTTGGAAATATGTTTTCCCAGAGTGGGATTGATAACTTTTCATACCAAGTCCTTAGCATCATCAGAACAATTCATGTTCCCATGTGGATCTGTGTCCTGTTATCATCATGAGAACACAGATAATCTAGACATTTGTGGCAATCCTGCAGCCATTCCATCAAGAACACCAGGACATCGTTTCTGTCTCTGTTCAGATAGTCAGACCACTACCTCTTCCAAATTCCCAAACAGTTGGTGGTGGCTCCATGGGATCCACCTTGACAATTCCATCTATTATTAATAGGCAATAACAATATAATAATAGCTAGCATTTGTATAGCACCTACTACGTGTTGGGTACTGTGCCAGGTCCTTTACAAATATCTCACATTTGATCCTCACCACAACCCTGGGTTTTAGAGCACACGCGTAATAGTTTTCTAAGACATTGTCTCACTTGATGGCACTATTTCTTTCTACCCTGGCCCATGGTATGTATTTATTAACCAGTTGTGGGTTGAGGGAATGACAGGACAGCATTTCCTGGGAGTATCTACGAACTAACTTCAGGACTGGGGTTGGAGGGTAGTTTGATTCAGCATTACTTTATTGAATGCCCAGTCCATGTACAGAGCTAGGCCAGGGCTTCCAGGGAGGATGCCAAGAAGTCTAAGACATAGTTATTTCCCTTGAGAATCTTTCCTTCTGGTTTGGGAGTCAAGACCCACAGAAATGAACAGTGAGGCCTAGAGAGGTTGAATGACAGGACACCTAAGGAGTAAGTGGCAGAGCCATAATTAAAACCAAGGCCTCTGAGAGCGTGTCCAGGCTGCAGATGACATTGCTGAGGGGGAGAGAACATACAGAGACAAAGAGATGAAGGTTTGTCTACTTGCACTTCACTGTAGCCCTTAAGTCTGGATAGGTCAGTCAAAGACCTTAGTCTCTTAAATGGTGTCAGTTTAAAAAAGTAGACCTTCTATGGACCAGCAATAAAATATAAGTGAAAAGCATAAATAAGCATTACCTTATGTGGTTTTCACTCTGCACAACTTGTCAGTGCTATTTTCTGAACAGCACAGTGAAAGGCTGACTGGGAGATTGAGCCACTGATGGAAGAAGCCAGTTAATGTCTATTTTCTACCTCTATCACCCCACATGCTCACCTTCCGCAGGGTAGAGCAGGCCAGAGAAGACTCAGATGAGGAGCTGGAAGAGGTGTTTTGGATTCACTTAGAAGAGAGGGCACTGGAATTAAATAGGATAAAAGAAGCAGAGTAATGCCCTTCTTCAGGCCATCATACCCCTCTCCAAGCATTGTATGGAACATCTTGAATTGCTTCTCACTGGGTGGGTGGAGAGGCCTTGAGTTACTGTGAGAAGTGTATCCCACTAAATTACAGCCTCAGAAGTAGGAGGGACCAGAGCATCCATTTAGTTCAGCCTGCACCTGTTGAGAAGGAGGCATGGTGTGATGGAGAGAGAACCTCAGAGCCAAGAAGCCCTGGGTTCAAGTCTCACCTCCGATATGAACAGGTTCCAGCCCCATTGGTAGGTGGGATTTCCTCATTTGATTTTCTCTATTGCAATGGAATCACAGGTCCAGACCCTTTTACAGCCCTTGGGATTCACAGCAGTTTTCTGTCCTTGTGAGTTTTCTCTATCAGTGCAGCTACCCAGGGTAGGAGGACTGGGGGGGGAAGCACATCTGTGGACATTTTTTTCTACTTAATAAGGTTATTTGTGACTTAAAAATTGGAAACCCCTAGCATAGAGCAGGATTGAAAAAGAAATTACATTAATACTGAATTCGTATGAGCTCCAGTATGTCCAACATCACATCACTTCTGCCACCAAGCAAAGTGACCCCAGAAAAAGAGGGAGGGATCCTTAGAACAAATGCAGTGGCTGCTCAGTCAGCTCAGGGCACTGACCCGGCTCTGCTGCTTCGCCCACCCTCTTCTCAGGGTCATTTCCATACGCCTCTTAGTGTGGCCTGTGGCCTTCAACTCCAAACTTGTGTTTCCACAGCTCCCCAACCTTTTGTTCTATGGACCACCTGGAACTGGAAAAACCTCCACCATTCTGGCAGCTGCAAGGGAGCTCTATGGGTAAACCAGTGTTTTTTGTTTCTGTATTTGCAGCTTACAGCAGATCACTGGGATGTGGTAATGCATGTAAATTCAGGAAACATTTATTAGCTGCCTCCTGTGTACAAAGCACTTTGTTAGGCACCGGGGATACAAAGGCATGGAAGAGGCTGCTCTCAAGAAGCTTGTATTAATTGGGGGAGTGGGATGAGTACCAGGAAAATTGGGAAGGATGGAAGCTCACTCTGGGGTGGTAAGACAAGGCCTCGTGGAGGAGGAGCCTTAGCTGAGCTTTGAAGGAAGAGAATGGTTCTGAGAAATGGAGATGAAGGAGGGCATTCCCAGCATGTGGCAGCTTGTATGAGTGCATGGAGATGGAGATGAAATAGGGATCAGCTAGTAGTCCAGTTTGGATAAAATCGAGTTTGAAGGAGGATAAAATAAGGCTGGAAGAATAGGTTGGAGAGCCTCAGGAGCTTGTATTTTACTCTGTAGGCAGTGAAGCAGTCACTAATCAGTTTTGGAGCAAAGGGAGTGGAATTAGACCTCCTCAGGTCATCTGTAAAATGTCAGACTAGGTAACCTCCAAGGTCACTTTGAACTCCAGTGATCTGGGTCTGCCTGTTTTGTTAAAACTGTTATTTGTAGGGCAACCAGGTGGTGCAATGGAGAGAGCACCAGCCCTGGCGTGAGGAGGACCTGAGTTCAAATCTGGCCTCAGACACATATTAGCTGTGTGACCCTGGGCAAGTCACTTAATCCCG